AGGATTGAGGTTGGAAGGGGCCTCCAGAGATCATCTAGTCCAACCCCCCCTGTTCCAGCAGGGACATCTAGAGCACGTGGCACAGGGTGGCATCCAGGTGGGTTTGGAGGATCTCTGGAGAAGGAGACTCCACAACCTCCTTGGGCAGCCTGTTCCAGCGCTCTCTGACCCTCACAGTAAGGAAGTGCTTCCTCATGTGGAGGTGGATCTTCCTGTGTTTCAGCTTATACCCATTACCCCACATCCTGTCACCGGCCACCATGGAGAAGAGCCTGGCCCCATCCTCCCTACAATTACCCCTCGGGTACTGAACACGTCGATCAAATCTCCTCTCAGCCTCCAGACTAAACAGGCTCAGCTCGCTTAGTCTTTCCCCATACAATAGATGCTCCAGTCCCTTAATCATCTTCGTTGCTCTACTCTGGACCCTCTCTAGAAGCTCTATGTCCCTCTTGTCCTGGGGAGCCCAGAACTGCACCCAGTACTCCAGGCGCAGCCTCCCTAGAGCTGAGTAGGAGGATCTCCTCTCTCGACCTGCTGGCAACACTCCTCCTGCATGGCAGAGGGAGATGCTAGCCCACCTGTGGGCAGCACAAACACATGGCATAAAAGCCTCTTGTTCAACTTGTTTACTCATTTTAACTGTCCCTGGGGATTGCTGATTGTCTTCAGCTACCACCTGTTTTAGTGGATTAAAAGGAAGAGAGCAGATCAACTCATGCTTGAGGCCAATGCACACTTCCTTTGTGGTATTTTTGTTGACTGTTGCATCCTGCCCACTATGCACAGGAGCCAGACCAAATCCATGCTAGAAAACTAGGAATAGCAGGTTGCTGGATGGGGTTGAGAAATGAGACTCCAGGGATGTGGCGGCAGCTCTGTCCTTGGCCGTCAATGTGTGACAGGAAAATGAGCTGGCAGCGTGCTCTGTAGGGCACAGCAATGCTCCATAGGGCATTTGGCAGCAGTTCCTGCTACAGGGAGTAGGTCTCAGACTAATGTAGAAGATCCCTTGCTGGAGGCCTGTGCCCGTCCGCATGCAGAGGACTCCTCAGGCACCCCCCACGATGCAGAGGGGGTCATTCTCCAGAGGCATCCGTGACATAGAGGCTGTAGGTAGCACAGTGACGTGGCACCGGCTCATGGACACAGACCTCAGGGCAGGGCACTGGCTCAGCAGGGACAAAACTCTCCAGCAGTGCTTGTTACTGAGCTTGTTTGCAGGTGAGCTGGAGAAGCATTCGCTGCCCCGTCATTGTCAGAGAGCTGATCTGCAGCACAAAAGTTCATACAAAGCCCCTGCTACAGCCATTTTTCTAGCTGTGGCCTAGGGAGGAGAAAAGCTGTCTTAACCTCTCTGCTGTTTTGCCATATTGAATCATCCCTCAAAGGCCTGCAGCAGTCTCGGGAGCGCTTGCTCTTTGGTGTTTTCTTGGCACTTTCTCTGGTGTGCTGTTTGGTAGGAGTATGTGGAACTGATTCAGTACCTCAGGATTCAAAAGCAGATGAAGAATTCCTAGACAAGAATATAAGTATTTTTTGTTTGTTTCTTTTTTTCTTTTTTCTTTTTGTTTTTTTTGGTGGTGGGGGGGAGCTATAGATAAAACTACTTGCCATAATTAACTGATGTGACTAAAGATTACACTACCAATGATACTGCCAGTTAAACAAGTCTCAAATGAGTCCATCTTGCAAAGAATTGTGCAGGTGGCTAGTGCTGGCCAAAACCCTGGAAGAAGGAAGTGGAAATTATTATGTGATTATGTCTTAACGTGCATGGAGTAGATGGCCATGGGTTAGAATAACCTAAGCACAGGGAGTGCAGATGAAAATCAAGGTTTTTACCTTGCTCGTGCCCCTTCCCTATCTAGTTCTCTGTCATGAATTAAAGCTGTTAATTGTGCCTGTCGATGCTTTGGGTTTTTTTTTTTAAGCTGCCCAGGTTGTGCAGGAGGTGGTGGAGGATGGGGGATCTCAGCAGGCAGCTCAGAGGAGGTGAGTGAAGGGCAAAATGGAAGAGGAGGCTGACTCCACTGGCTCCACCTTCGCCTGCCTCTCGCTGACTCGCTGCGTTGTGGAGCAGGAGCTGCTTCCCTCCCCCAGGCATCCCCATCACTGCCCGCAGAACAGGCAGCCAAGGGGCAGTCTCAGTGTAAGCATTTCAAAAGCAAACTGACCATCACGTGGTAAAGGCAAACTTACAGAGGCCACGCTTTTTTACCTACTTATACCAGCTTCCGATCATTTTGGCCAAGGAGATAAAACAAGCTGCTTTATGTATCCATATGTCCTAGGGCCCCCGTGGATGCCTCTAAGACAAAGAAATCCTGGTTATCCTAAGTTATAGCTTCCCACAGCCATTTCCTCTTGTTCCCTTCACTTCTGCCTGTTACGTAATCCTCACACAACAGCTAACTCGGGCCTCAGTGAAGGACAGCTCTGATGTGATCCTCAAGTGTGACAGTCTGGGATGCTGGAGCCAGCTCGCAGCAGCTGCAGCCTGCATTGCACAGCAGTGATTACTCCCAGAATATTTTGCTTGTGTTAGGGACGTGTCTGTCATACTGTGAGAACCACAACCTCCATCTGTGCTATGATAGTGAAGACAGGTTCACAGAAATCATGATTCAAAACCTCCCCCCTTTCTAATCTTAACAGGCTCTGCCAATAAGACAGACTGACTCCTCTGTCACTCCCTTGTGCACATCTTCTCATGTTATCTCCCCTGCTTCCCGGCCATGGCCAATTCCTATTTGTTGCCCCCCAAGAAGACACCATTTCCCAGTGCAAAGCTTGGCCAGTTGTTGAATTCTTGAGAATTTCCTTTTGCTTTCAGGGTGCAACATCACGAAAGAACAAAAATCCATAATCTGCTTGGATTTTTAATGAACACCAGACTTCAGCGTGAATTAAATACATACATATATACAAATGCATTCCCTCCTCACATCGAAATTTTACCAGTCTCACTTTAAGTGAAAGGGTAGCTACAGCTTGTGTCTGAATTTATGTAAATATATGAAAAACTAATGCAAATATATGGCCTTCTGCTCTCTCGCTGTTCAGCAAACATTTTGGAAGAGTTTGGGAACCATTTATGAGTTACTTCACAACAAAATTCTTGAAATATCCAGTATGATATGGCTGTTGCTCAGCAAATGTCTCAGGCTTCAGCATAACCTACAAACTGCCCTCCCCCACTAAGCAGGATAGGGCAGCAAAACTAGCAAGCTATTAAAAAGAAATGTACCAATATTTGCTTTTGGGTGCATACACACCACTCATCACACACACCCTGACCATGGTCGAAGTAGGAAAATACAAACCGTACATATAAAACCTCACACACATACACAAGCGCATGCTCACATACATGCTCACATGCAGGGGGAAACTTAAAACATGCATCAGCAGAAAACCACCATACTTCCCATACTCACAAAAGCACATGTGAAAAACAGAAAGAAAATATAATCACAGTCAACAAACTCGCAAGTATACATGTACATATACACACACACATCTGCATAAACACACAAGTTGCAGCATAAAAATCATAACATATTGTACAGATAAAATCATATTCATAACGCTCTCCATGCTGCATTCTGGCATGCATATAGCCTATGTACCCATACAAAGCTGTATCATGTAACTTTTGTATGTCCTTCATTTCATTTAAGGGCATACAACTTCTAAATGGACAGAGGCAATTTGGCTGAGTTTGCAACGCAACTTGAAGCAGATGACACAACATATTGAAAATAGGCTCCTATGCACATACTCCGTGAGTACGGCTGCATTTGCAACACATGGGAAAAATACAGATGGGAAAGGGGAGTTGATCCAGTTGCAAGTGGATCTGGCATGTGCAAGTACCCCAAAGTGATGGGGGAACAGAATAAACAGGGGTTAGATTAGATGGTTATGGGTATTCCCTCAGGATCCAAGCAAAGTGTCACAGAATCACAGACTGGTTGAGTTTGGAAGGGACCTCTAGAGATCATCTAGTCCAACCTCCCTGCTCCAGCAGGGACATCTAGAGCACGTGGCATAGGGCGGCATCCAGGTGAGTTTTGAAGATCTCCGGCGAAGGAGGCTCCCCAACCTCTCTGGGCAGCCTGTTCCAGGGCTCTGTGACCCTCCCAGCAAAGAAGTTCTTCCTCACATGGAGATGGAACTTCCCGTGTTTCAACTTACACCCATTACCCCTCATCCTGTCACCAGCCACCACGGAGAAGAGTTTGGCCCCATCCTCCCTACATTCTCCCCTCAGATATTTATACATATTGATCAGATCTCCTCTCAGTCTTCTCCCCTGCAGGCTAAACAGACCCAGCGTGCTTAGTCTTTCCCCATAAGATAGATGCTCCAGTCCCTTAATCACCTTCGTTGCTCTAGAAGCTCCACGTTCCCCTTGTCCTGGGGAGCACACCAGAAGACAGCAGCACTTCAGTCAGGATTGAAGGGCAAGGAAAGCCAGGGTGAGGAAGAGGGCATGAGACGAGGCGTGGAGAAGAGTTGCAGATAGGGTGTAAGGGAAATCACGCCTGATACAGGCAGATAAGGGGAAAACATGAATGGAAAATGAAAGCGGGATGTGAAACCAATTTCATATGGGACATGAAGAGTGCTGATAAGAATACAGACATGAGGGAAGAGTTAAGAAGGGTCACATTAGGTAGCAACAGCAAACAAAATAAGGTGCAGCACACAGATGGGAAAAGTTAAGGATGGATATTGAAAGTATTAGCGCACTGAGGGGGAAGAGGCCATAGGTGGCCCATCAGCTTGTGGAGCAATCCACATTGTCCTATCTCCATTTGTAGGAAACGAAATTTCTCTAACACCAACAGGTGTTTGAGTATTTGCATCTGTGGGTGTGTTGCATCATCAAAGCGCTTTGGGCACAGGTAACCTTTTCTGTCTCCTCTCTAGGGCGTTGCACCAGGGCCTACCTGTGCATTGCTATGAAAATGCTTCTGCCATAGGATGTGTGCTGGGGTAGGTTTGTGTTTTCAGTAGCTAACCACGTAAAGAGGGAGGTGAAGAGCCTGCTTGGGGGAAGAGCAGAGCCATGAGGAGAAGCAGGTAAGAATGGCAATGGTTAGATTTTCAGATGTTTCTTTGGAAGATCACTTTTTAGGTTCTTTGGCTCCTTTGCTGGGTCTATCCAGAAATGAAGCGGAAGAGAGGGATGAAAGAGGGGCACTTGAGCCAAACCAGGGCTTGACCACTGCTAGCAGCCAGGCCTGTAAGGTTGGTTAGAGGGGCTATAAAACAGGAGGAAGTAAAGAATGAATTTTCACCATTTGCCTTTTTGTTACTTGTCCAGATGTATGTGTCAGGGTTGCATTGCACCTTCTCCAGGGCAGGCACTGCGTGCAGCTAGGGAGAAGCATTGGTAGAGCGAGCGCTTCATCAAAGACAAGCAGCTATAACTGCAGAGATGACAAGGTGGGATCCTCCTACTTTCATGGCACTCATTATAATTTATCCAATCTCATTCTCACTTTGACTTTTTTCATTAGATGTTCAAGCTGAAACAGACCATCGGTTCTAAATTCAGACGTGGGACTCAGATTTACTGAATTTGTATCAGATACTTTTTCCAAATAGCTGGATTACTAATCCTGCCTGGTGTCTATGAGTATGTGCATGCAGACAGTAGCCACTCATGTCTTCTACGCTTATGCTTACTCTTGTGCTGACATTGGCAAATGCCAGCAGGTTTCCTTGTGTGTGAACACTGTGATTGCGAGTAGGTTAACACAAATCTTCTAAGATAGAAGGGCATTGGTCACCCCAGTCTAGTAACACTGTTGGACAGCAGCACGGCAGTAAGGGCGCTTATTTATTTATCCGCGAGGATGCAAGGCATAAGGTCCTTTCCGTTCCGCGGGAAGGACATTCGCCCACGAGGAGATCCCCGACGCTGGCGCTGGGAGGCCTCGAGC